GCATGGATTATATATAGGTCTTCGAAAGATGTAGATTCGGCTCTGGGTATATTGAGTTGCACAGCAGGGATATTACACCGACCCGCTATTCCAGTTGCCAATGTGCCGCCACAAATCTCATCTAAAATCACAGCTAAAAATGACTAAATCTTCCACTGGTTATAGTCCTTTTCATTTGTCCATTATCATTTTGTGTTTCGCCACTCTAAGCTAGGGCCAGGACAAGACAGGAGGCAATCAGTGAAGAAGAACCTTCACACTGGTCTTGACTGTCTTGCCCCTGCAATACATAAGCATTCCATTCTGTGCCTCTGACAACTTAGACAGCCACTTCTGCAAACTGCAGGGGTTTATGAGGTGACAAATAGCTGCTTAATTGTAAACTGGTCTATCTGGGCTCTGAGGTGATTTATGGGTAGTTGTACTTCTAATTAAGTAAATGCCTTCTGTAATCAGCTGTAAAACCCTATATCCAATTTAGAAAAGAGGGTGCTTAAGTTTAATATTAAGTGACTTCTCACGTTGAAACAAAAGTCCTAAAACACAAGGCCCTCCAGGAACTCCAAGACTCCCCTACTCTTGACTAAATAGACCTAGACTGTTCCAACTCCTGGCATGAAATATCTCCCCTGCAGTTATCATTTCCTTACTGCTGCCAAAACAAAGACTAGTATGGCTTACAGTCCCTAAACAGACACTGGAGATATAATTGAAAAAATGGTGTGCTTCTTAGCTCTTTTATAAGGAAAACATAAAACCATGATCACGTTTACCTTTTGATGCTCTTTAAAATAAAACGCAGGTAAAAGCTTTGGCCTAAAGATATTTTCAAAATAAATAACTGCAATCCAATAAAAGCAGAGAGAGTGCAGACTCCTCTTGGAGGTGATAAATGGCAGGATATCTAACAAGGCAAGAAGAAGATGAAGCATCTAGTGAATCAGCGACCAGGGGGGTTCTGATTTCTGCACACAGGAGCGGAGATCTGCAGTTTCTCCCCTCGGCTACCCCTAGCCAAGATAAAACAGGTGCAGAGTCTCAAAAAGCCCTGGGCTCCCACATGACATTAAAGATGCTGCTGAGGAGGCTATGGGCTCTTCCACTGAGCTTTAGCTATCAAAACAGTGCAGAAATTAAGCACACTGAAAACTGTGTGGCTAGCTCTTTGGGCTATAAATGGAGCAGAGCTTTCAACAGTTTGCCGTTTTACATCATAGATCCCTACTGTACATCTTCCTGGCAGTTTTTCCAAATAATGATCAGCAAAAATAATCAGCTAAATGTAATGTACATCTGATTTACCAGTACACATACTGTACAGTATTAATGTACCTGTTTTGGCAGCAGAATACACTTATAAAAGTGTTAATCAGCCAATTTGAAATTTTGAGTGGAGCTGGCTTATGCATCTCAGCTTTTGTAAATACTTGACAGTCAAAAATTCTGACATTCAGTGACATGGAACAGTACTTATTAAAAAAGCCAGTTAAAGTCTTAACCCATCATAAAGATTCCAAATCCCAATCAATGTACCACTCAAATCTGCATTCAAGAACTGGTTTTCTCTTTAAAAATCACTGGCATATTTTTTGCATTAACTGCAAGCACTGCTATGAGCAGACATGAATTTAAATAGGGATGTCGAGAATAAATCAGGGATGCAAAGGCTCTAGTACATTAAAAAAGCTTCAGTCTTGGCAGAGGAGTTACCACAATGCAGAAGACTGATCTTAATAGGTTTGCATGCAGCGCCCTCTTAGGGAAGGAAAATAAATAGTGTTTCTATTACAACAGAGATTCAGTGCAGTATCAACTTCAAAGAACAAACCAGTGCAGAGCTATTGACTCCACGTTTTTTGTATTTAACATACTCACAGAAACTTATCAAGAGCAAATAACATCCAACAGGCCTACGTATAGCTACCTGTGTACATCTTACTGTGCTTTAACTTTGCAGGGTGATTTATTATTCTGCTCCCATTCTTACAATATTTTAAATATTCATACCCAACAACAAGGAGGAAAATGGGTTGAGCAAACAAATTTATTGGTAATAGCACTGATATTGTACATATATACAGTGCTGTGTTGTCGCTACAAATGCTTTACACAAGTGTCAGCACGAAACATTGCTGCATTGGGTTTATATGGAGATCCCTTGAATTGTTCTTTGTTATTCTGAGTTGAATAATTTTCTTTATATATTTAAGTAAAATAAATATTCTAAGTATTCCTAGAACAATACAAAAAAAACTGTAGGAACTGTAGTAGAGTAGGAACAGTAGACAAAACTATAGTGTTCATGCAGAAAGGAATAGACAGCACTAGTGATTCATAAACATAACAATATTATGTTTTATTTGACAAAAACCTTACACTGCTTCCACATAAACAAAAGAAAAGGTACTATATTTCCTTCCGTTCAAGTTGAGTTTATTCTTAAATGAATCCCGTGGTTTACACTTGGGATTTGAAATTTAAATTTCAAAGCTTGCAAGCTATTTGAGGCAAAGATTTTTAAAGCCAAAAACAGCTCCTTTTGCACAAAACCTTTTAATGCACTTATGAGGCTCCTCAATATCCATGAAGAGCCCGATTTATTTAAATTGTAAATTAAAAATTAACTGTGATTTAATTAAAAAATAATAAATCCCAAATGTGTAGTCTTTTTTTCTCCAATTCACCCCAATTTGTAGCAGCATGCCACAGTATACAAAATAAATGATTTATTAATGGGCATGCAGTGTTTATGGTAAAACACTCATTAATGATGTTTAATGATGAAGTTTAAGCTTTCTATTAAGACAATTCGGTATCTGTTTTTTTGTTCAGGGAAAATATCATACAGAAGATATGGGAGGACAGGTCTATGTTGAACGCTACTTATCTGTAGCAGTAGATGTGTATAGCACTAAACACATCAACTTTACCTTTGCGTAGGTCTCAGTGCAGCAGTGTATCCAGTAAGTACTAAAATACTTGAGTATTAGAACTAATGGTTAGTATTACTTTGGGTCGATAAGTGTAGCTAGCCTTGTGTATGGAACTAGCCTAAAAAAGTCCAAATTTCCTAGGACTGCTTACCAGAAAAGCCAGTAAGTCAATGTCAGACCTGTTATGTGCCCTGGAACTGCAAACCACACAATAACTCAAAGTCCTGGCCAAGTGCGACATCTTGTGGACTTAAAAGGAAGCTAAAATGGCTTCACTAGACAAATAAGCAAGCAAAAGAAAGCGTGTTTATACATGCCTCGGTACATTTTTAAAAATATTTATTGACCTTGATTGCTTGTGATGCTTGAATGCTTGCGAGCTGAAGACAGATCTGATAAATTGATACCTCATGAAAAGTTCACTAAGAAGGCCTTGAACTGTCATCCCTGTACTTTTAACAGGTTTCCATAAGAACAATAGAATGACAACTACAATGAGCTCATCTTAGACAGGCTCTGACCTTCAAAATACATACAGAAAGAGTAACACTTTCACTAAATCCAAACAGAAGACAAAAACCTCCTGGAGCACTACAAACTCGGAGAAATTAGAAAACATTACATAAAGTGAATCATGAAAGCTGCACAAAACAACTGGTTAATGCTACCCTTCTTGAACCCACAGGTCCATCTCTAAGACACCTTCAACATATTCAATACCTTGGTTCATAAACTTCTTCCATGCAAGTAATAATAAAACTCTAACAACGGTAGTTTTAATAATGGATCATAGCCTTTCACCATTTTCCTGATCATTACTCCACATGACTCTCTACATCACTTATTTCCAATTCAGGGGACAAATGGTTAAGAAAATAATTTGTACTTTATTTCTTGCTTTTCAAAGTCTGCAGAACTGTGAGGAGAACAATGTCAGAAAAGAACAGTAGTGTCACCAACAGTTGGCCACACATTCATGTTTTTCAGTGGACCCGAGATTGACTTTTTAAAACTAGTAATATTTTATTACACATTTTACTTCTCCGTTTTGTAGAGACTACATACGCTTGCAGAGATGTGGATACGCTAAGTGAAAATCAATTAAGCATTATTTATAGATTTGCATTTTTGCCAAAACACTCATTAACATACTATATTGAAATTTAATCTCTCTATTAAATGCACTCACACAATTTTGTATGTTATTTTATTGTGCAGGGAAAATTTTCACTGGGGCTACTCTAGGCACTTTTTACATAGCACTGTAAAGAAAGCACTGGAAAAAAATGTGCAAAGCAATTCCTAATAAAACAGTATCAACACTCCCAGTGAAGAAGTAAATCTGTCTTACAGACATGTTTAGGGTGTTGCATCAAATTTCAGAGCTTGTCTGCCTTTTAACTCCTACTTCCAGAGTAACTTGGAAGGTCTATTTCATTACAACATAAGATTGGCTGAACAACCCAGTTGTCCATCTTTCTGTTCTTCGTTCATAATAGTACACTGCTTCAGGGAGCCTCTCCTGCATACTTGGCATGCAAAGGCAAACAGCTTCAGTTCCAATGTTACAACTCATCACACTTTTGATGGGCATGCACACCCTCCAAAGAATGGAAGAAACCTCAAAGCAGGAGCGTTAGTCCATTGAATCACTAGTTATGAGCTACTTACAGCTATGCTTTTCTTTCATGACCACATTTGCATTTCCTTAGTCATTTCACTTTTTAGTCATTTCACAAACAACATTTAACTGAATACTGCAATTACACTTTTCCTTTGAACGCAAAATGTTTGAATATACTAATTTTTCCTAATTTGCTCTGAAGCGTCTCTTTCATGGATATAACATTAAATGATGATGTAAAAAAACAAACTGGGTGCACTCAAAAGGATTCAACACTTTTACATGGTATAAAATGGTAGAAAGTATTATAGCAAACATCTAACAATTAGATTAGGAATTAGACTTCCTAAGATCTCCAACAATAATTTCAATAGAACACATAACAGATATACTTTTTTGTTTCCTGATGGGCAGATGCATAAGAAACTAGAATTGATCCTTACCTCAAACCAGTGTTCTTTTCTCTGTTTTTGGCTCACAAGCTAAAAAGGGAAAAGAAGAAGGGAGACAGCACAATTAGAAAAACATATTGTCCTCTTCAATAAAAACATCTACAACATCCATAAGACATCCATAAATAGCCAATATGTTTTTTCCAATTTGTCTGCAATACTCACTCTCTGATAGAATCAAAAAGGAATCTGGCAGTGAAACTTAAATTTCACTGCAAGTACCTCACTCATTTCTGTGGTTCATTAGTCTTGTGTGCACTGGCTAGTAGATACTATGATTGTTTGATTATAAACGGATCAATATGCGTTTCCACTTATAGCATATACTTCCTAGTCAGAAAAGAATAAAGCTCTCAGGCCTTTACTGTAAATAAATCTTTCACCATATAACAGGAGTTTAAGAGCTTCACTAAGCACATGTATGATGACAAAATTAAGTGGAACATCTCTCAAGAGCCACACGTGCCACAGACCTATTTCCACTCGTCTCACAGCAATGTTTAATCTAGCTCTGTTGCAACCAACAATTAGTGCTATTACACTAAAGATGTGACAGACGAGATTTTTTCAAATGCAATCTAGGTGTAAATAGAATTGAACAGGGAGGAGAGTATCAGGACTTATTCTAACATCTGTTCAAATTTCAGTAAAGAATTTCCAATATTCGGAGTTTTCAAATGCCTCGTTTAAGGAAATACAGTACACGTTAAAAAAATCTCTACTTACATTTAAAAATGATAATACCTGGTTCTTAGTTCTTTGCGGTTAAAACAGTATTATAATGCAGGCATTACTCTCATTCAAATTCACGATTGGCCCATGCTTGTTTTCAATTTGCCATAATTGTTCTCATTTCACTACAAGTACACATTTACTGTCTGTGCTGTGTGAGCCAATCTGGCTGGTAGACTCCGGACAGTCTACTGATCTGGAATAGTGATTTTACTCTTAAAATAAGAGATGCTTAGTCCATGCATAGTATTATGACTATGTAGGTTCATCGAGAATAGCTTGAGAAAAAGTTCAGAAAGTTTATTAAAGGGTAAAGTAAAAAGAGGCTCAGTCAGTGAGTCAAGGGTAACATGCAGTTTTGATTTTCAAAAACCTTTCCTAAATGCACCCAGTACAGGCAATTTTAATTTGGCATCCCGGGTTTTAAAACGAAATCAGATAAAAAGCAATTTGGAGTATGGTTATTGATATTAAAAAAAAGTTTTTTTGTCAGCCACTATTCTTAATTTACCACATTATTTCATTGGTTTGATTGTGGTTACTACTGTGTTATGAAAACACGTTTGCTGTATACAACCATCCAAGTCATTCAAAAACAACATTAAAAAAGAAGTATGTCTTAAAAAGGCGAGTACACTTACAACTCTAGGAACTCCAATACTGTCAAACCATTAAAGAAATGGATGTAGAAGAATCTCTTAAATCCGAGTCCAAAACCGACTGATTTTGTCCCAGGGTAGGATGGCAAGATGGTGATTTTTTATAGATGAACATGTAACCACAGCCTCGCAACCTCTTCCCTGAAAAGACCCGAGGGGATCTATAATCTAGGGCATTGTTTGTAGTCAAACAACAGGGCTACTCTGTCAATTTGCTGCCAGTTTTTGTTATGTCTTGTGAAATAAGCAACGCAGGGCTGTGACCTTAGTCTTTGTAGAGGAAGGAAAGGCCTATTTCTTCAGTGCACTCAAGTTAGCTATCATTTTTTAATTCACTTGGCATAGACTACTTTTATATTTATTAATGTCATTATCATTGCTGATTTGGCCCAAATTTTGAAGCAGTATTACTCAGGGGAATCCTGATTTTTTACCTGAGTACTAAGGGATTCAAAGCTAAGAAGTCTTTCCTTAAATTGCTGTTCTCTTTCCTCTATCTTCTAAAATTTTAATACAGTACTCTTGCATTTGAAGTGTTTAACAGCAAACCTTCCATCCGATCATAAAATATTTGGTCAAAAGACTAAAATCTCATTTCCCCCCCATTTTAAAAAATGAGAATGAAAATAGCTTGGGATTAACCTAAAAGTTAATCTATAATACAGTTTCCTTTCTTAAAATGGAAAATAAGTTTGAATATCTTTTAAAAGCTTAGTGTTTTCCTATTTCTAAATAACAAATCTACAGGACAGGAACCAAACCTGTACCTTTTACTACAGATTTTAAGTCCTAGATTACTGCCATTAAATCATTTATACTTTAGATTTCAGACATGACCACAATCAGACCACAAACTGGAATGCAACATAACAGGTTTCTTGACATTTTCAATGACATATTCAATGACCTATACTGAATTACTCGTTCATAATACACGTTATTAGAAAAGCTATAGCATGCATCGCAAATGAACAGTTTGCTTCCAATATTACTTCCAATACTGGCCACACAAGCTACTTTATATCTTTTTCAAGTACTTCTCTTGTTGATCAAACCCTGTTGACTGCAAATTGTAAAGAATTTCCATATGTCTGGTCTGTTTGAATATGATGCCAGTGACTTGTGACCAGAAAAGATTGCCATTTTCGAGATAACTGAATTTTTTGCAGTAATACAGTACATTTCTTTGGATGGTTTCCTTTTTAAGACCATTTTGTATATAAAATGGCTAATTAGCGAACGTTTATTAAAACGTAAAAGCTCCACAACCTGTGGACAGAGCAATAATGTCATTAATGTGTCAGAGTGAAAAAGAAATGTTAAAAGGTTCCAATTTTTCTGTTGTGAAAACTTTCTGTTCTTCTAAAAAACAGTGGAAAAAAAAAATTAAGCAATTCTGGAATTTTCCTCCCACAGTAATGTGTTTTCAGGCAATAAAGGAACTAAACAGCCTCCACTTGTTTGTAACCTCTGTCGTGTTAAGTAGCGTATGAAGGCCATAAGAGGGAAAAAGTAATAACTGCTCTTTAACAGCTCCAGCTCAAGGCCTCAGGATGCAGGCCACAACAAGTCTGTCTGGAGCGTGTTCATATTTCACTTTTCATCTTGTTTTTGAAATTTAAATATGTGACATATTTGTGAAGGAAAACACGAGATATAAATGCACTTTCAACCTACATGCACCTGTACACTGTACAATCTAGGCAAAGACTGGAGCCAAGAAAACCCTACTTGTTTACAGAAACACATTCTATTTCATGGTCATGTCACCTGAATTGCTAAAAATATGGAACAAGCCCTCAAGGATGCCCGCAGACTCACTTGACATTCGCAAGGGCAAAGGACTTTATCTCCTAACAGGAAGTTTGGCAGGAAGAAATGTGCCCTGAACATTAATTGAGTTCGATCTTAAACTTGCATCACTACCACTAACCATACAGACATGAAAGCACTGCTTTCTTCCCGGGAGAGATTAAAAGATAACATGCAAGTTCTCAAGCCAAGCCTTTGGAGTATTTTACAGCAGAACCCCTCTAAGGACTCCTCTGGGTACAAATTCTACTCAAGCTCAATAGTGTCAAAATGAGAAATGGGTTCCAGAGAAGGTAAGAGTAGGACAACCCAAACTTGTGTTGCCGGGTATACTGTATCTGTACTGTGCCCATCTTTGGTTTACATGGTATAAAATAATATGGCCACCACATTTAACACACCAGGATTCACAATGTACTACTTGTAGGCCAGCTCCAGTAAGGACTTCAATGCTTGTGACAAAATGCTGGAAAAAAAACAATTAACGCCTTATTATCTGAATCATGTATGTGTAGATGATTTCTGCTGTATTTCAGCCAAAGGGGAACCTCACAAGAGCCGATATATATATAGGGTTGTTTCTGGTTAAAGTTTGTTTCTCTAAATACAGAAGAACAAAAACTTCCACCCAATTTAAGGACAGCTGTGTCAATGTTTACCAGCAAGTGAGATCTTCAGGTCTCACTGGGAAGGTCCAGCCTTTCTGACGGCCGAGGTTACAGTCCACCCACTGTAAGTGTATCAGTGTCTGAAAGGAGAGAGAATAAAGTGCACACGAGGTTAACTGCCTGTTCGGTTAATTGTTTTTGGTGGGTTTTCTGACTCCCCTATGCACTGGATCTTTTCTATAAAGCCTAATTTTGCAAATTTCATTTTCAAAAGACTTTCTTTTCACCTAACATTCATTAAAGGTTAATTTGAGGAGAAAGCATAACTGTGCTTAAGGTAAGATTTAGAAGGACAACAGTTCAAACTGAATTCAAACTGATTTCGCTGGGAGATTAGAAATGGTTTTCCTGGTGTACTGTGCTGTAATAAAAACTTGGTTAACAATTATGTTTTGTGTCACCAAACCTATGTAAGAGTCAAGATTAATCCAGACCTGCTAATACCATCTTCAAACTGCTAGTCTTTTAAATGTACTTTTCTTAAAAAACCCAAATGTGATGCACTAGTCATGTTAACTTGAGTTTGAGAACGTACTGCGCTACTTCATTACCATTTCTTCCATTTGCAAAAACAAGTTTGTCATACTCCCCATTCCCACAGTCAGTCAACAAGTAGTACAGCAATCACATCTTTAATAAAGTAATGAGTTTGGGGGCAAATGCAGTAATAGCATAGAGAAATAGAGAGGACTGCATAGTTTAAGTGTTGTTTAAACTTTTGAAAATCTCATTAACACCTCTTGCCCTGTATAGTCAGCCAGGGTTAAGCATAAAGCCACAGCAATCACTGCTGTGCTGAGTTCTTCACAAACTGACTCATTAATGTTTAAGAGGACAATGGGAGTGTGGAGTGAGTCAGAGAGCACTGCCCATGATACTGTTCACAGTCTCATCCTGTCACCACATCGCCAGCACAGCAACAAATCCTTACAAAGTGCTTAGAAACTGATGATTAGTAGGTAAATACATTTCAAACCAAGAAGGAGAACACAAAACAACTGGAATTGTAAAAGGACAGGTACTCTGACTGAAGCTTTTATCCAAGGGGACGTGGAGTTGCATCAATTGTTACAACTGGGTATTTTTCTGAAGGAATTCAGGTGAAGTACCTTGTTCAAGTGTATAACAGCAGCACCCTACAGAGTGTTTAACTTACGATCTTCCAGTTACAAGTCTGGAACCCCAACCACTGCTCTGCGCTTCTGCTCTTTAAAAAGACCACCCGCCTCTTGAACCTTGGCTACAGCTAACCACCAGGCCACCTGAGAACTGCTCACAAAATCTTCTGTATAAATCTTTTTCAATACCAGCACCTACTAAAAAGTGCAGCAGAGAACCTGGAATTCTCTGTTGCTAGAAATGTCTTACTTCAGAGACAAAGGTGATTACACAGCTTTCACTATATACAGCTCAGCACATACACTAGGAAGAGAAGTCTACCAAACCCTTGCATTGCTTATGCAATATAGGGATATTCCTACACTTCACAATAAAGGAGTCCTTTTCATCCCAAGGTGCTTTATATGTTCATGGGGACCCACTTAACCTTTACCAGAACATTCTGTTGTATTACATAGGCACTCCACAGAAAATGCATTGCTGTTAAGACATTTCTGGTGGATTCTGCCATCCCTACAGGAACAGGCCTCAATGTGTAATGGGTGTGACACAACCACACACAAGTGAAGAGTGAATAATTTAACCCCAGGGTTCGTTTATTGCATAACCTTGGCAATTATGTGAGCAATGCAGGCAATGCGTGGCATGATAGCACAAGCAGGGTGTCGGCTCCCTCTTCTCAAGACTCAGAAGTAAGAGGGGAGGTGCACAGGCGAGCTAGCGCTCAAGTTATTGACAGCATTTCTCTGGGGTATAAAACCACAGCTTGGAAAATCATAGGCGTTTTCCAGCAAAGCTTTTACATTAATGGCACGATGTTGCTACCACTAATGTTTTAACATTAAATCCTAAGCACGACCTTGTCTGACAAAGGGTATGAAATCTTTCCCAAATTGGAGATACTAATAACTTGAATACGTACACAAACAGTTTTTAGTTTTACTATACACTCGCAAAAAACATACTTAGTAAGAGGATATTCAATAGAGAAAGTAAAACTATTTGGAGTAAAATAAAGATAAAGAGCAACCTTTTTTTTTAAGTTAACAAAAAACAGTTTTAGTGTGTGTAAGGAATTAGGTACAACATGCAGTGAATTTTGGAAAGTCCCTGTATTCTTGTAGTCAAAGACCCTTGTACCATGGGTCTAGTAAATACTGTAACATGATTCCATTAGAATTTACGGAACACATCCATTTTCTAACTGCTCACAAAAACTGGGATGGTTGAATTAATTTTAATCCAAGAGGTCATATTATATTATAATTATTCTAATGCAGTGAATTGCATTTGGAACAGGAGTTATTTTGGAGCAGGAGGAGTTGTATGGAACAGGATATCCAGCCAGCTAAGTTGTTGGAGCCAAAACTCTGGCATCCTTTATGACACGATGGGATGAGATTCTAGGGTCAGGCTGCTAGCCACCAAACAAAACGAGAGGAGCTGAATGGCCTCTTCTGATTTGTATTCTGAGATTTGTACTTGAAAAGAGTTTACATTACCTGCTGAAAACTGCAATTTTCAGCCAACTCAAGCAGGATGTCTTCCCTCGGAGGGTTTCAAGGTACTATGCTGTACCTGTCCAATTCTATTTTACACCTCAAGCATTGATAAAGGACGACTCGCGGAGTTTCTACCAGGGGTCTTCTAGAACGTGTGACAAGGGGACCGATCTGAATTCATCACCCGTATGGGGGGCAAATCCATCATCCACCTTTTTTAAGCTGATGTCCTAAGGAGGAATCACATGTATTTGCAAAGAAGGCCACTTTTTAATCACACAGAATTTGTAGATGCATCTCTTTGAAAAAGGGAATGACCACAGAGAGTCAAAACCTCAGTTTTATGTCTCACCTGAAGGATGGGGACACTATATTGTAAAAAAGGCACCGTCACTATACTGGGCCATTAGGACCCATACACACAGCAGGGTGAGCACCCCCTACTGGCCCCACTAACATCACTTCCAGCAGCAACCTTAGCTTTCCAAGGAGGTCTCCTATCCAGGTACTGACCAGGCTCACACCTGTAGCCTATCCCAGAAAGCAATGGGCCCAAAGCAGGTTACACCCTGGATGGGATGCCAGCCAACGCAGGGCACAGACACCAAGGATACATTTTCCCAGAAGCAAATCAACTTACCATTATGTCTTTGAACATGGTGAGAACATCCACACAGACAGATCTGGACTTGAATCCAGGTCCCCAGCATTTTGAGGGAGCAACACTAACCACTGCGACACCCATATCAAACTTCATATTAAAACATTTTCATTTACTGTGCTTATGTAAAGAATACAAATTTGCACAACATACTTTGCAAAGATAGATGAATTTTTGTTAACAGCCAGGTGTGCGTTCCAACACAGCTCACTGCTTCACTTTTGAACACTGAATGGTATTGCCCTAGGCACTGCAGTGTCAGGAAACAGAGAACACAAGATAGGGTGCACGGGGGATATAATTATTTACTGGGGAGCACACAGACAATTGAGGAAAGAGAGAACAAAGTTAACAGCAGCCTAGAACGAACATTAAAAAGACATCCTGAAGAAAGCTTTCCAGTCTGGCAGTATGACACACATCACAAGCTCTGAGTCAATGTGCTCCCTTCATGTAATAAGATACAACAAGCTCACCAACAGCCCCACTACTGGAGAGAGGGAGAAATTGAAAACGGCCAGTGACAGATGTGAATTTAAGAGCTGCACACCTTCACTTGCAGTGTTTTCATGTCCGGGGAATGTCATCACCTACTGTGGGGGCAAGGCAGGATCATGAGAATGTAGCAACGTAAAATCCACCAATCAAAAAGAGCTCAAGTAGAATGAAATGGAATCTGTGCTGTCAGCGGTCTAGGTATGATCTTTCAACACAGCCAACTCAATTATCCATCTGAAATAACTGTATGCGAAGTAGGATTTAAACTTAAGATGAAAAAAGTGAAAACCTCTTTTATAATTTTTTAAACATCATGAGCTTTCAGATAAATCAAGAATTCCTTGCTATTATCACTTTACAATCTTATCACTAAAAGCAGAATCCAGTTAAAGCAGGATTTATTGTATTTTTCTGTGTAGGAATACCAAGATACAGATCGAGTTGTTAACCACAGGAGAGGGTACAAGTATATAAGGGTTCTATATCTCATACTAAGCTAAAATCTGCTGAAGAAGTTACAAAGGAACTGCTTCCTTTTTATTATGAAACCTTTACACAGCAGAATAGTTTCATCTTCCGCTCTTTCTAAATCTGCTTTAATCCTGTTTAAAGCAGCCCAGTTTGAGAAGCAAAATTTAAACTGGCATAAAAACATGGAAAAAAGCAAACCCCTGAATTTAAAATGTAATTCAGTGATAAATGATTCTTGTTTTACGCCTGTGTACTGAGTAACTTGGGTTTTAATGCCCTGTATTGAGAAAAGTAGATATCCTCTTGTACTGGGACAAATAGGTTCTTGGGCTAGAGTGATTCCTAAATGACAACCAGGGACTGGTGTTCAGGGTTTAACTCATGAAAAAGAAATTTAAGAAACACAAATATCAAGATATGTAGAACTGGTAAAAAAAAACCACAAACACAATACAGTATTAAAAAAGCTCAGGTCTTACAACCAGGAAATAAAACGGAAGCAAATAAACATTGCATCACTGTTATGTATTATGGTGCAACAATTCTATAATTTCCTGTCATTCCCTCTGAGCTGACAGCCCTTACAGAAGATATTTCTACAGAAACACAGGCAGAAGTCTTTACCTTACTTATTTCACATAATCCCTACTGACAGAGGCCTCTCACATTCACAATATTGCACCACTCGGTCTGACACATTCTTTGCATGCAGTGTGAAACTGCAGATGACACATGCCTTACCAGGACAGCTTTCCTGTTAAGGCCAGTGGGCAGTGATATTGAAAAGAACAGCACCTGCGTGTTTCAGAAATGTTACTGTTAGTCCAGG